TACTTTGGATATATGTCCAAGAGGGACCATTCCCTGGAGAAGGACACTTGGTTGAGGGTCTTCCTCTCCTTTGCTGTCCCTCCAGCCTTCCCAGAATGATGCCCCTCTCCAAGGAATAGCCCCTCCTAGCAACATGCCCAAAGTATGTGAGGTGAAGCCTCATTCTTACTTCCAAAGAACACTCTGGCTGCACCCTCTCCAAGACATATTTGTTTGTCCTCTTGGCCATCCTTGGGATGTTCAGTGCTCTTCTCCAACACCGCAGCTCAACAACATCAATTTTTCTGTAATCCCTATTAATTATCCAGCTCTCAGATGCTTAGCAAGTGATCGGAAAAACCATGGCCTAAATCATACACACCTTAGTCCTCAAACTAATATCATTACTCCTCAGTAATTTGGAAAGGTCCCTAACTGCAGACTTTTCCAACATCTGATGAATCCTGGCTGAAAGTAGAGAACACCAGAAAAAAAATGTCTACTTGTGCTTTATTGACTGTGCAAAGGCTTGGTTTGACTGTGTGGATCATAACAAGTTGTGGCTGGCATTGAGAAGAATGGGAATCTCAGAGCACTTAATTGTGCTCATGCGGAACCTATACCTGGACCAGGAGGCTGTTGTGCGAAAAGAGCAGGGAAGCACTACGTGGTTTAAAATTAAGAAGCGAATGTGTCCCTGACCTTAAAACCTACTACACAGTGGGAGTAACCAAAACAGCATGGTACTGGCACAATGACAGGCACACAGACCAGTGGAGCAGAATTCAGAACCCAGAAATGGACCGCTCTGTAGGGTCGCTATGAGTCGTCTACAACTCGATGGCACCTAACAACAATAACAACGAAGACATAGAGAGAGTTACATTGGCCACTTAGGGGACAGAAAGTTATTCTACCAAGCCGAAGGTGGGTGATTCCAGTTGTGGCCCTCAGGTCTGGTTCACATTGTTTTTCTGTAAAACACTCTTCTAAGTGGTACAGCACTGGTCTGTGCATTACTATACAGAGGTAACTCGTGGTTGCTGTTATGCTGAACACTGTGACACTGATGTGCCAAATGTGATAATGGTTACCCATGGTGGACAATGTTTGCTGGAGCTTCCCAATTAAAACAAGCCTGGAAGCAGGAGTGGCATCCACTTCCAAAATGGCTTTCCTCTGGAAACTCTGGAACAGTGCTCAGGCCTTTCGTTCATAGGGTCGCTATGAGTCATCTATAACTTGACGGCACCTAACAACAACAACAACAACAACAACAACATCTAAGGTCAACTCATAGTCGATAAGGAAATGACAACTTCTTCAACAAATGGTGCTGGAAAAACTGGACTTCTACTACAGAAAGCTGAAACAGAATTAACATCTCACACCATACACAAAAATCAAACCAAGGTGGATCAGAGACATGTGAGTAAAGGCCAAAATCATAAAGTTCATAAGAGACAAACTGAGATCAAGCTTAGAAGTCTTAGTGTATGGTATAAAGAGACTGCCAAATACAGCCAGAAATGCTCAATATGGAAAGGATAAAATTGATAAAGGGACCTTCTGAAGATTAAATCTCTGGGCTCATAAAAAAGCTTGTTTCAACAGGTTAAAAAAGAAAATTTACCAACTGGGAACAAACATTTGGTAATACTATCTCAGACAAGGGTCAAATAATAAAAGTTTATAGAATACTTCTGGGCCTCAAGAAGAAAAAGAATGATAGCTCAATTACAAAATGGGCAAAAGACATGGAAAGACTTTTCACAGAGGAAGAAATCTAGATGGCCAACAGACACATGAAGAAATGCTCAAAATCACTGGCAGTAAGTGAAATGCAAATCAAAACTACAGTGAGATACCATCTTACCCCAGCAGCAGCGGCAAAGTTTAGCAAGGCGGCAAGCAATAATTGTTGGAGAGGATGTGGAGATGTGGGAACTCTCGTACACTGTTGGTGGGATTGTAAAATGGTAGAACTACTCTAGAAGACAGTTTGGTGTTTCCTCACAAAGTTGAACATAAAGGAGCTCTGGTGGCCTAGGTGTGCAGTTTGAATCTACCAGATGCTTCACTGGAGAAGGCGGGCAATCTCCTCCTGTGCCAGTTGGATCTGATTTGATGGTACACAACAAGAAAGGAAAAAAAAAGTTGAACATAGAAACTCCGTATGACCCAGCAGGAGTATATTCCAAGGAACTTAGATCTGACACAAATGGAGATCTGTACCCCAATGTTCACAGCAGCGTTATTCACCATCACAAGATCATGGAAACAGTCCAAATTCCCAATCACAATTGAATGTATTAAGAAATTGTGTTACATTAATACAATGGAATACTAAGCAGCACTCAGGAGCAACAATTTCAAAAATATTACATAATCTGGGAGAGTCTGGAGAGCATTATGCTGAGTGTACTAAGTCATTTTTATTTACTTGTTGTTTCATCACTTTTTCATTTCCCTCTTATACTTTCATCACGTAACCGGGTATAGATGTACACCAGAGCTGGCAGCATAGTCTATGTCACATTGAAGGAGAAAGTTGAACAACCTCCTCCTGTAAAGATTTGCTGCCTCCAAACTTGATGTTGATCTCCACAGAACTGGAACCAATGGACAGTGACATGCATACATACAAGCTGCCCAAATCCTTGGGAAAAAGACTGGAGCGCAAAAAGAAAAGGCACTGGCTGGCGACCTTCTTCTGAAACAAAGCACGTCTCCCTGCACCTAGGAGTCAACAGCTTTCTGGGGATCGTCCTTGCCTTAAAGGAACTATCTCAGCTATAGTGTTTTTTTTTGTTTTTTTTTTTAATTTTTTTTTTTCAGCTATAGTGTTGCACTTTGGGACAGACTTGGTCCAGCAGTCCATGTGTGGGTACAACACTGGGCAGAGAAGTGCCAGGAAAAACCAAATGGGTTGGTGCAACCACTGTGGAAGGTAGTGTGGCGCTTTCACAAAAAGTAGCAAATAGGTGAGCTCTGGTGGCCTAGTGGCAGGAAGCTGCACTGCAATCCTAGAAATACGCGGTTCGAATCCACCAGATGCCCTGCTGGAGAAGGAGGGACAATCTCCTCCTGTACCAGTCAGATCTGATTTAACGGTACACGCACACAAAATAATTAAAATTTTTTAAAAAAGTAGCAAATAGAGATACCACTTGACCCAGCAATTCCACTACTGGGAATATACTCCAAAGAGACCATAACTGACACCCAAGCAGATATATGCACACCCATGTTTATCGTGGCTTATCATGATAGCAAGGAGTTGGAAACAACCTAAGTGCCCATCACCAAATGAATGGATAGAGAAAGCTGTGGTATATTCACACAATGGAATACTATGCTGCATTGAAAAACAAGGAACTCATACAATATTATTTAAAATGGATGACCCTAGAGGACATTATTCTGAGTAAAATATCTCAGTCACAAAAGGACAAATACTGCATAGTGCCACTGTTATAAAACCAGACTGACATCGGGTTTGGGGGAAGATGGATAAAGATAGGTTAAATAATGTATACTACACTGAAACAGATGAGGGAGAAAACTGTTTAAAAGGGATATGTGATTAGGTATTATTGTCATGACAGGAGTCCAGAATGAAGGCTGCATAGTGGATTGGACTTGGGGGAAGGGATTGTATAACAATGAAAGAATTTTTCTTTTTCTTTTCAAAGAGAAGAGCAAATTGGGGGGAGGGGAGGGAAGGGTGGGCAGGGAGAAGAGTGCAACAATGAATGAATGGAAATTCCGTCTCTGTACACTTTCATTAAAACTAATAATAATTAACACACACACACACACATACACACACCCCAAATGGGTGCATGTGCTCAACTGCATTCTGTTGTCTGCTGGGAGCATTCAAACCTCTGTTCCTTTGTTGTTCTTTAAGTGGTCAGCTCAGGATGTACTGCTTTTCATTTTGTTTATTTACATTTTCTTAGGGAATATATTCAAGCTTTCAAGAGTTAGCAGGAGCTTGCAAAGATAGTTGCAAGAATAAGTATTTTGTTATGCATGTTGCGCCTGACCCTCCAGCAGGTTTTCAGAGGCTGTAAATTGCACAGGAGACTGCTCATTTTTTCTCCCATGGAACAGCTGCTAGATTCAAGCTGTGTGCCCTTGGGTTGGCAGCACAACTCCCCTAAGCCACATTAAGTCTTGTAAGGACACTATCTAACATATAATCTACAGGATTTTTTAGTCCATTGATTAAAAGAATGAACCAACAGCAACTTGTGTCAGTGATCCTGACCACCAAGGCACAAACTCTCAGTTTAAATGATAGCAGATAAGAAAGATGTGAGCGCTTCCTGGATCATATGATGGCAGACCTTTGAAGAACCCCGCTTTTCTGAGAGCAGGGTGGTCAGCTCCCAGAGGGCTGCGAAAATCTTTATCAGCATCAATCCTTGAGCATCTCAACGTGTCAACATTCCAGAAGCGGTTGTTCTTCCCAATCCCACTCTTCCTGTTTTGGCTGGAAGTGTTGTCTACTTATTCTCTCACCAGTTCAAACCAGAATTCTCAGGGTCACTATCCTTCACTCCCTCCTCTCCTTCCACTTCCTTTCTATCACAGTTTTGTGGAGTTTACCTTCTCAGCGTATGCAAAAGCTTAACAGTGAATAAGGCACACAGTAAGAGTGACTGGTGGATTCGAACTGCATAACTTTGGGTTGGCAGCACAGATTTTACATTCTATCACGCAGCTTTCCCTAAACAATGGAGAATCAAGAAAATAAACCAAACCAGGTTTTGGAATGAAATGGCACTGAATGCAAAAGATCCTCAAACCCTGTTTTAACGGTGCACTTCCGAATGAAATGGCACTGAATGCAAAAGATCCTCAAACCCTGTTTTAACGGTGCACTTCCCAACCTCCCCAGTAGAGGCAAACCCTGAAAATCTTGAACCACGTGCTTGGCTTCCAACCCTGGCTCTACAACTCCTGCCTAGGATGGCCCGGGCTGCTCGACCGCAGTTTCCGTAGGTCCCCAGGTGGGAAGGAAGATATGTGAACAGGTGCTTGAGCGCAGGCGAGGCCACTGGGAGCCAGTACTTCACCACCGACATCTCCCCAGGCCTGCAGAGCGCACCCAACACCTCGGCCCCGCCGCCCGCGAAGCCCGACAGGGGGCGCCCGGACCCGCCCGCGCGCACCTACTACGCGCCGGCCCGCCCCGGCTCCGCCCCCGCGTGCCGCAGCCAATGAGCGCGCGGCATCGCATCCGGGGATCCCGGCGCGGCCACCGCCTCCCGCGCACACACGGCCATGGCGGAGGTGAGTGAGCGGGTCGGGGGAGCCGGTCCCCACCACGCGCCCCTGGCTCCCGGGCCCAGCTTGGCTGCATCCGGAGGTCCCACGCACGGACGCGCTGGCGCCAGGGCTCTGAGGTCGGACCCGGGTGCTGCGTCTGCACAGGGCCGAGGGCCCGAGGCTCCGACGGCGGCCGCCCCCGGCCCGGGCCCCCCCCTTCGAGTGCCACATCGCGGGCTGCACTGCGCATGCGCGGCTCCAGGGATGGGCGGGGCCCAGGCGGGCCGGGGGTGGGGTGGGGTGTGTGTGCCCCGGGGACCCCCGGCCCTGGGGATGGGCTGCTGTGGGCGGGGCCTCCACGTCGTCCTCCTGTCCCGCCCCTGGGCTGCGGGGTCCCCTCACCCCGCCACCGGCGCCTGCAAACTTTGCGGAGCGCCGTGGCCACGCCGTCGGGACCCCGTTTGTCCCTCAGCTTCTAGGCAGATGTAGCGCCGAGAGCATCCCGGAGCTGCCCACCTGCTAAGACCTGTGGCAGGACTCGAACTCGGGACCTAGCCGGCGCCCCGCGCAGATCTGGTGCTTAGGGATGCTGCCCCAGGGTCAGCTCTCGAGTGAGCGGGGCTGTCACTAGGGCCGCAAGTTAGTTTTTGGAGCCCCCCCAGACCGCCATTCTCCGCGCAGCGCTGGACCTTGCGGGATCCCAGAGCCAGGGGCGCGCGTTCGGGGCGTCCAGGATTTCTGAGTTGAGGCTTGCTTTGAGAGTTTGGGGCTGTGATGCAGGACCACCCGGAGGAAGGTGAGAAGAAGACACAGGGTGGTTGGGGGACAGACAACAGGTGGTCCTGGGTCAGCTCTGGCCAGCATGAAGTTTTGGGTTTCCAGCTTTCTGGATTTCAGGGTGATGCAAGAGACGACCCAAGTGTCCAGCGAGCGCTGCTCTCACGGTGCCCGGTGAGCATGAAGTGAGGGCGCACGCAGGGCCCGTCCAAGGACCCCAGTGTAACTTCTGGGAAAGCTGCGCCCGGCCTCCTGTCTAGGTGCCCAGGCTGCGCTCTGGCAGAAGGGACTGCTCTTAGCAGCCCTGGCCACAGCCTTTGTCTGGACAGAGGTTGCAGGGAGACAGTGCAGAGCTTGGATGGTTCTCTCCTCTTTTGCCTCGGTGTTGGCAACGCGAAGATGGGGGCCTGGCCGGTGGTTTCTTGGAGACCCCTTCTTCCTCAGGGGTGAGGGTATTTAGAGAATCGGTCAGGCCTCAAGGAGTCCTTGTGGTTTGGTGCGGCTGAAAGACCACAGCTCAGCGGGAGGAAGATGAGCAGGCTCCTTCCATTTCCGTCTCCGACACCTGCTGGGGTGTCGCCAGGAGGTCGCTGGACTCAGGGCTGTGCGGTTAGGTTTAATAGGTTTGTGGCTGCATGGGGCTGCGGTGGGGGCAGAGGCCAAGTCCATGTGCACCTGAACAACGCTGATTGACCCGGACCCCCGTGAGACAGGTAAGGGTTGGGTCATCATATACCTAGGCCAGCGGCCTGAGTGCGTCCAGACCCTTTGTCCAGCAGGGAGTTGGCCTGTTAGTGGCTTGACTCCTGCCCTGAAGTCTGCAGCCAGCAGTCTAAAGGGCACATTGGCTAGGGCGAAGACACTGGTCATTAAGGGGCTAGATGTAGCCCAGCCTCTTCTGGTGACCTTGGGTAAGTTACTTGGCGTCTAGGCCTTAGTTTACCTATCTGGAGGTGGAGCCACAAGGTCTTGTGAGATCCTGGTCCCTGGCTTGCCCTCACGCACTTTGGACCGTGTGTGGTTGTAGTGGAGCCACTGTTTTAGTGAGTGAAGGTGGCGTTTGTGGTCCATCAGTGAGCTTGGGTGTGTGCTGCGGTGGAAGAATGGACCTCTGTCCTCCCGGAAACCGGATTAATTTTTAGACTGCCTGTCTCCTCGTGTTTCGTGTCATCCTGCTGTTATAATGCAGAGCCCAGCCATGCGATGCCCCCTCGAGGGGACAGGCTCTCAAGATGAGTGCCCCTGTTTGATGTTTCCATGGCCAGACAGCTGACCCTGTGTGGGTGGAGATGAGTGAGACCTGTTTGTCGGGGTGCTGTGGGCGCCCTGTGCCTGGTGAGGCAGTCCTACTGGAATGAGCACCCTTCCCGGCGGGTGGCTGGAGGAACTCGGCTCGTGTTGCCGCATGGTGATGCCCCTCATTCAGGTGATGAGAAGCACTTTGAGCCCTCATATTGTACAGTGTTGTTCTCCACGTGTCTTCTGTGTTGCTGCCATTCTCCTGGAATCGTAACTGTATGGCTCAAACATGGCCTCTCCGAGTGGCCTGGCTTCCTCACAGGGGTAACAGGGTCCATGAGAATGTCCCAGTGCAGAGCCTGGATCTTCCCAGGCACGTGAGTCCTGGAATCAGAGTTGGAGACGTGCGCCAGCCAAGTTGTGTGCAGCCAGGGAGCGTGTAATACACCTTCCCAATTCCTGGCCCATTAATGATCCCTACATTCTCAGTGCCTCCTGGCACCCACAATCTGGCTGAGACCCCTACTCAAGCCCTGACTTTGCTCTTTCTCTGCAGGCCTCCTCGGAGGAGAGGCAAGGCCCTTGTGTGGCCTCCTGCCTTACCCACGGTCTGTGCCCAGTGGAGCCCGGTCAGCAGACAGCAGGTACCTTGTTACTCCCATTTTAGTTGTTGGGATAGATTCCCAGGTGGAATAGCCCTTGGGATAGGGTGTGCAGTCCAAGGGGGGCTGGAGAAGGGAGCCAGAGGTGCCCTGCACTTTCCCACACCTGTCTGCACACCCTCGGCTGGACTGAGTTACCAGGGATCCCTTCCACCTGGGCCCACCCACCGCAGTCCCTTATCTGGAGTGCCTGGTGGGTAAGGCTCAGACAAGTTCCTTTGTAGCAGTGTCCATGGGCTCTGCTGACCACCAGTTCAACCTCTCGGAGATCTTGTCCCAGAACTACGGTGTCCGAGAGGGGCAAGAGGTGGCTGCTGAAGACCCTGAGAAACCTGAGGAGGAGCTGGACAAGGACTTCATCACGCAGGTACTCAGGTGTATGGGGCAGGTGTGAGGGATGGGACTAAGAAAGTCCTCAGCCTTTTGGTCTCAGTAGCCCCCAAGCAAGCCTATCTGGGGCTGAGCTCAGAAGGGACCATGGTGGGGACGATGTTGGGGCTGACGGGTGGGGCATGGGGATAACAGCAGGATGATGGGAGGGACAGTGATGGGGATAGCAGGAGGGATGGACAGGATCTGATGTGGACAAGGCTCAGTGAGACCCACAGGGACAGGACTCAGCAGGTTGACCAGGGAAAGGACAAGCCTGGTTTCCTGTGCCTTCATGGTGCTCCTGACAACAAGAGACGTAGATTGTAAGAAGCCATTTTTCAAGTTTGTGATCCTCCAAAATCGTCTACACTTTTTGAAGTGAGGGAACATCTCAAGAGACCTTTGTGTGGCTCATATCTATCTTTCTTTTAAATAAAATTTTTAGTTTTGTGATTTTAATGAAAGTTGACAGAAAAGTTAGATTTTCATCCATTCATTGTTGCACATTTTACCTCTTCTCCAGTCCTTCCCCTTGCCTCAGTTCACTTTGAAAAAAGAACCCTGGTCAGTGTTGCACAATTCATCCCCCACCCACCCACCCCCTACCCCCGCTCTCCTCCGCCCCCCAGTTCTCTTTGCAATATATCTCTTATTCTGGGCTGCTGTTGTATATATAATGCCTAATCATAGTTCTTTTCCTTATTTATCCCCTCTTTTCTTAGTTTCCCCCAACCTTCATGTTAGTCTTGTTTTAGAACAGTGGTGTTATACAATATTTGTCCTTTTGTGGTGACTGAGATACTTCACTCAGCATAATGGTCTCAGGTGTCACCTATGTTGTGTAAGTTGTGTAATATTGTTGATGTTGTTGTTAGGTGTCTTAAAGCTGAGTATGACTCATAGTGACCCTATGAACAAAAGATCTGAACTATCCTGCGCTGTCCTCACACACTTCCTGACACACAAGAGCCCATTACAGCAGTCACTGTGTCAGTCTGTCTGGGTGAGAGCCTTTCTCTCCTTTGCCAACCCTCCACCCTTCCCAGCATCATGTCCTTCTCCTAGTAATAGCACCTCCCAGCAATATACCCAAAGTATGTGAGGCAAAGCCTTATCATTCTTGCCTCCAAAGAGTACTCTGACTGCACCCTCTCCAAGACATATCTGTTCATTCTCTTGGCCGTGCATGGGATGGTCAGTACTCTTCTCCAGCACCATACGTCTCAAAGGTGTCAATTCTTTTCCTGTCATCCTTAGTCATTGTCCAGCTCTCAGATGCATAACAAGTAATTAGAAAGACTATGGCCTGAATCAGATGTACCTAAGTCTTGAAATTGACATCATTATTCCTTGACAATTTAGAAAGATCCCTAACTGCAGATTTTCCCAGTGCAGTGTGTTTCCTCATTTTCTGACTGCTGGTACCAGGGGTGTTAATTGTGGACCCAAGCAAGATGAAGCTGTTGACAGTTTCATTGTCTTCTCCATCCATCATGATACTGCCTATTGATCTGTTAGTAAGAATCTTTGTTTTCTTAACATTGAGATGCAATCCATATCGAAGGCTGCATTCCTTGATCTTCTGCAAAAAGTGCTTCAGTCCATTCCCAAGAAGGGTGATCGAACTGAATGTGGAAACTTTTGAACAGTATTATTATTGTGACATGCAAGCAAAATAATGCTGAAGATCATTCAAAACTGGCTAGAATAGTAAATAGACAGGTAACTGTCAGAAATTCGAGCAGAATTTAGAAGAAGCCATTGCACCGGGAATATCATTGCTGATGTCAGGTAGATCCTGACTGAAAGTAAGGATTACCAGAAGAAAGTCTATTTGTGCTTTATTGACTATGCAAAGGCATTTGACTGTGTGGATCATAACAAGCTGTGGCCGACATTGAGAAGAATGGGAATCCCAGAGCACTTAATTTTGCTCATGTGGAACCTATACTGGGACCAGGAGGCTGTGTGCAAACACAGCAGGGGAACACTGCATGGATTAAAATTGAGAAGAGAGTGTATCAGGGTTGTATTCTTTTCCCATGCCTATTCAGTGTATATGCTGAGCATTATCCGAGAAGCTGGACTCTATGAAGAGGAACATGGCTTCAGGATTGGAGGGAGATTCATCAGCATCCTGTGTTAAGCAGATGACACAGTCTTGCTTGCTGAAAGTGGGGATGTGAATATTTTATTAGGTTTTTTTGTAGTGCTATCAACAATCTGCGTTATGCAGATGACACACCCTGCTTGCGGAAAGTGAGGAAAACCTGAAGCGCTTGTTGCAGAGGGTCAAGGACTGCAGCCTCCAGTGTGGATTGAGGCTCAATATCAAGAAGACAAAGATTCTCACCACTGGACCAATTGGCAGCATCAGGATGGATGGTGAAGAGATTGAGATTGTTCACAGCTTTAGTTTGCTTGGCTCCGCACTCAACACTCAGCACCAGTAGCCAGGAAATTAAAAGACATATTGCCATGGGAAAGTCTGCTGTTAGGGACCTCTCCAAAGTACTGAAGAGCAGTGGTGTCTCTCTGGAGACTAAGGTGCGTCTGATACAGGCCATGGTCTTTGCAATCACTTGTTATACATCAGAGAGTTGGACAATGACCAAGGAGGATAGAAGGAGAATTGATGCCTTTGAGCTGTGGTGCCGGAGAAGAATATTGAGGGTACCATGGATTGCTAGGAAAACAAACAGATTCATCCTGGAAAGGGTCAAACCGGGCGGCTCCTTGTAGGCAAGGATTCTGAGGGTCCGTCTAACATACTTTGGACATGTTGTAAGGAGGGACCGGTCCTTAGAGAGGGACATCATGCTTGGTAGGGTGGCGGGATAGTGCAGGAGGGGAAGGCCCTCTCTGAGGTGGATTGATTCAGTGACTGGGGCAATTGGGATGGGTGTATTGGAGATGGTGCGATTGGCACAGGACAGAGCGGAGTTTAGGGCTTGTTGCACATAGGGTCGCTATGAGTTGCAAGCGACTCGATGGCACATAACAACAACATGTAGTGTTCCATTAGGTGAATATACCGTAGTTTTTCTATCCACTCATTTGTTAATGGGCACTTGGTTTGCTTCCATCTCTTTGCTGTTGCAAATAGTGTGACAATCGACATGGGTGTGTATGTCTTTTTGGGTGGCAACTGTCTTTCATTATCACTCTAAAAATCTAGGGGGAGACATTTTTAGAGTACCTACTTGAGGTTATTAACAATTACAGCTTGTTTGGCTCGACAGTCAGCATTCTTGGCACCAGCAGTCAGGACATCAAAAGACATATTACATTGGGAATATCTGCTGTTAGGGACCTCTCCAAAGTACTGTAAAGCAACAACATCAGTCTAGAGACTAAGATGCACCTATCCAGGCCATGGTCTTTGCAACTACTTGCTATGTATCAAAGACCTAGGCAAAGACTAAGGATGACAGAAGAAGAATCAATGCCTTCGAATTGTGGTGCTGGAGAAGAGTCTTAAACATAACGAAATCTGCCAAGAAAACAAGTCTGTCTTGGAAAGGGTGAAACCAAGTTTCTCCTTGAAGGCTAGGATTTTTATTTATTTTTTTAAAATTTTATTAATTGTAATAAACATTTGTAGAGATTTTGGGTTTCCATTCATTCATTATTGCACTATTTTCTCTACCCTCCCCCCCGTTTGTTCTTGTTCCCCCCCCCTGAAATTCTGTTTTAATTTTCCCATTGCCACAGTGCTTGTCAAAACCAGTTCTGATTAATCT